CTGAGGAAATGTATCTTACTGTTAAGAAGTTATAAATTACTGAGGATTTGTATCTTACTGTTAAGAAGTTATAAATTACTGAGGATATGTATCTTACTGTTAAGAAGTTATAAATTACTGAGAATTTGTATCTTACTGTTAAGAAGTTACACATTACTGTGGATTTGTATCTTACTGTTAAGAAGTTATACATTACTGAGGATTTGTATCTTACTGTTAAGAAGTTATACATTACTGAGGATTTGTATCTTACTGTTAAGAAGTTATAAATTACAGTGGATTTGTATCTTACTGTTAAGAAGTTACACATTACTGTGGATTTGTATCTTACTGTTAAGAAGTTATAAATTACTGAGGATTTGTATCTTACTGTTAAGAAGTTACAAATTACTGTAGATTTGTAGCTTACTGTTAAGAAGTTATAAATTACAGTGGATTTGTATCTTACTGTTAAGAAGTTATACCTTACAGAGGATATGTGTCTTATTGTTAAAAAGTTATAAATTATTGAGGATTTGTATCTTAATGTTAAAAAGTTATAAATTACTGTGAGGATTTGTACCTCATTAGAGAAATATATTGAATTTGTCACTAATCTGGCATCAATTGAAATACATTTATGCATGCATGGTGACTGTTTTGCATGGATGAATTGATAGATGACTCTTGATACCTGATAATTCTATAGTACAAGCAGTTTTTATAGCGTGCGAATCGGTTTCACGTTATCCGGGTCACGTGCTGCTATATATTCAGGTCTTCTTACCCACGGAGCACTGAATGGCTTCTCAAGTTTGTTTTGTGAGCCGTTATACACAGGCAACATATTTATCCGATCCCAGGCAGATAAGTTGGAATGATTACCATGCAGCAGATTGATGTCAAGAAATGCAACTGTTCCAACATCACCTAAGCAATATTGAATACCATGTTGATTAGCCAAGTCAGTAACAATAACTTGATCTGTTGCGCCAGCTTCAATTTTATACTTTGAAGACTTCATAAGTTGGTTATGTGGTGTTTCAGTCGCACCACTAACAAATAACTTGTGCGTTCCTGGAATAACCATTAGTGCACCTCGTTCAGGAGTATTGTGTGATAACATGATTACACAAAATACAGCTCTCATTCTCGGCATACCATCTTCTGCATGAAAAATCTCAAAATCACTATGCCAGCTATGACCTGTTCCACTAAAAGCAGTGTGAAAATTGATCAAATCTTGGTGAATATATACACTATCAGCTAATAGCTGTTGAACACGCGATATGATCTTTTTGTTTTTCAAAATATCTTCCACTTCTGATACTTTCTGGTACCCAAACACACTTCGTAATTTGTTTGTCTGGGCTCAGTGTGTATGGGCACTATCGGTGAGTGTCGGGTCTTCTCCAATGTCAATACTAGTTTCAATATCATATTTGTATTTTGATACTGCCTTGATAACTGGTTTCAACTCATCCTCAGTGAATACATTGTGTATTACAACGAACCCTTTCTCTTCATACTCACAGAGCTGTTTGGTGGACAGCGGGCCTGTTGGAGTAACACCATTCATCTTCCAAATCACAGGATCCGCCCGTGGGTATATTCTGTTGATGTCCTTGCGTGTAGGATATAAATCTGCTGTTGAAGAGGATGATACTCTTCTAGACACATCCGCAAAAATATTCCTACTTCTGTTAGTTGAAAGCCAGGAAGACTGCAAAGCCACTCTCCGTACAAGTTGTTGCATAGTACCACATAATTGAGAGTATTGCATTTTTTCAAAGATGATCTGAAAATAAAGAAAAAAATATATCTAATATATTTTCAGTATATTATGTAGCAGCTGTTTAAGTGTTTGTAATTCTGTATTTGGTGAACACTTCCTGCAACGTGAAATCAGTAAAACTACAATACAGTAGCATGGTTCTGTGTTGAACATTTCAAGTTGTACATATTTGGATACAAAATGTAATTAAATTGTCATGACATCGACAACTAATGAAAATGAGGTCTTAGATTGATACAATGGAAATAATTTGCAATTTAGGTGACCATGCAAAATATTCCCATATTTAATTTGATTGTCGATTTGGCCAATTTGCTGAAAAACTAGTAGTATATATTCACGATATTCAATTGGTTTATTTTTGTCGGCGGCGCTGGAAAGTATATTTGTTAGAATGTAACACATGACAGAAAATAATAGCTGCTTGAATTCAAAATTTCAATTATGCGAATAACATGCATTATGATCACATTAGGTAGATATTGGTCATGTCAATTAAATATGATTGTCACACTGGTATGCCAAGCTGATTGAAAAAAACAACCAGTCACCTGAAATGGAGTTTGATATGCATTTCCGTTTATGCAAAGGACAAGGATAATCCATAAGCAAAGGTCAGACTGATCCCACATACTGGGCACTCCCATTGTACCCGGCCTACAAACTAAGTTCATTGTGTTTATTTGCACCTCTATGGTATAAGATACAATAATTTGTTGGTGTGCTCGAAAACAGTTATTGCGGTGACTTTCAAATCCAAGATGGCGACCAAGCTTGTACAACCTTATATAGCTGGTTCCATTTGTGATAGAATATTTGTGAAAATGGCTGAATATATGTTTTTGTGAACGAAAAAGTTCACGAACTAACATTCCATGATGATAAAAGTATTGTTTCTTATCAAACTGTAAGATATTCACCAACATTTGTTGCAAACCACGTTTTATGTATATAACTGATGATCCATTTTGTTGTACCCGGCATGGCACCAGTAAATATCAATTCTACATTTGGTGACTTGGCAGGAACTGTGCTAAGGTTGATAATGAGACAGGTTCCCACGGGATGTACAGCATATGTACATTGGGTGACTGGCACATATCCAGAAATATCAATAAAAAATCCTGAACAAGAAAATCGAACTCAATTAGCACACAGTCCCTCATGGGCCTGTGATCAGCAGAAAGAAACGTTGTCACCGTAATTAGCAATGCGCATCAAAAAGTGGACAAACAGTTTAAAAAGGCCCTTCGAGATTAAAGGAGTCATTGGCACATTTTGGCTTGTTGTAATAGAAAAAACGAAACAAAACGGGGATAACACACATAATGAAAATGAAACTATAATCAGTGGAAATGGGTTTTATACGTCCAATTTGTACAACTGTCGGTCGAAACTTGAGTTGTATATTAACTTTTCTGTAGTGTATACTAATTTAACGACATAAAACATTTGCCGACAATAAAAATATTTATCAGTAAATGGTTCATTTCGCTGATTACAGATAATCAAAAAAAAGGGTCTTAGACATACAATATTTACAACTGTCAGTCGAAACGTGACCAGTAAATACACCTTTCATTCGTGTCGTAACTAGATAAAACATTTACCGAAAATATCGGGACTTTAATTAGTAAAAGTTTCGTTTTGCTAATTACGGATGATCAGAAATCTGTAATCAGCGAAACAAGGGTCCTCCACGTATATTATTTACAACTGTTGGACGAAACTTAACCAGTACATTAAATAATTGTCAACAAATAAAAGAGATGATTTTTAAATTAACAGTAATATTGTGACCAGCTTCGCAACGTGCAACGCTCCGAGGCGTACCAATTGGCGTATTAATCTGCATATGACGATCAGTATGGCGGACTCTCTGGTTCAACCATGGAAGGTCCTACCGGTAACGTTAGTACCTTCCATGGTTCAACCAAGATCAAAAGATGGGGCTGCCCTCTTTTACGGACCTTCCTTCCAGTGTCATCACCTTTATTTTTGATAATTGTTCCATGTTGTTGTATAAACTGGACTAGTAAACAGTTTACATAATAACACACATGTAGAACATTTGTTTCACTGATTACAGATTTCCGATTATCTGTAATTAGCGAAACAAATGATTTACTGAATAAAATATTGTTATTTTCGTCAAATGTTTTATGTCCTTATATACACTACTGAAAGGTAGTCAGGTTAAGTTCTGTCCGACAGTTTGTACGTGTACGTGTAAGAACCTTGTTTCGCTGATTACAGATTTCCGATTATCATTTACTTGTAGTTACTCTTCAGACCGTAATATTAAAACATGTGTTTTACTTTGATATGTTAGTGTGTGTGCTCCACACACAATTATAAATATTCGTAACCAGTAATGATAGCTTTAATTGCCCATTGTATACTTTATATTGGACATTTCAAAATAAAATTCACTCAAACTTTCAATTGCAAATTGTTTTTTTCTATCTGGCAAATAAATTTGGCAGTTTATAATATACAGTATATAATACCCTATGTATAGGGTCCAAAAAAAAACTACGAAAAATATGGCCTGGCATATAGTTGTCATCGGGTTTTACGCTTGTTGGTATTATCAGCTTGTTCTTTCTGTTTTTTGGGGGGTTGGTTGGTGGTTCGTCGTCCGGGAGAAATGAGTGACGCTGTCTGGGTTGGATTTGGCGGTATGTTGCTTGACTTCTGGGAGTCGCATAGGTAATATTTGAACTGCTCAACAATTATTTACACAAGTCACTGTATGTCGTTTTCATCACTGTCATTCACTCAGTCTTTGATCCAACTCTCTCGTTTACCAGCTACCCTGTACTCTCCTCTCCTCTACTCAACTTGACTCTCATTCTCTGAATACTAACCCGTCCTAACTCGTAAAGTTGCAATCACCACTGTGATTGCTTATATAGCCAAGGGAATACTTTTATATACTTTTAAGTGTATCTCAACCTGGTGACATATAGCCAAAGGAATACTTTCATATACTTTTAAGTGTATCTCAGACTGGTGACATATAGCTAAGGGAATACTTTCATAAACTTTTAAGTGTATCTCAGACTGGTGACATATAGCCAAGGGAATACTTTCATATACTTTTAAGTGTATCTCAGACTGGTGACATAGTTATGAACTGCTCATTGCGCAAATCGTTTGTACACAATTTGGTGTATATTTGTCATTTTGAAGTGAGCAATATTATACATGTATCATTAAAACAGATCCACTATCTAATATACAACTGTTTGTCCTTGTGTGGTTGTTTGTCTAGTAAATAAACATTTTTCGCTAACATCAGGGCGGGTTCAAGATGCCCCCAGCATCACGTGCACCTGGTCTGACTCCATTATGGGGGTTTATGATTTTCCGATTACATCGATTTTGTCAGTATATTTTTTATGACTACTGATTGTTGAAGAATGGCTAATTAATACTTCTATAATTACTAAAGTTGTCAGATCCACGAGACGAACAATTCACTAAAATATGAGTGTCGACTGGGTTAGCATGGATATATTGCTATCAACTATTGATATCAAATTGGAATGCAAATATGTGGGTTTTTTAGTCAATAAAACATACGTATAGGCATTTAAACTAACATTCTAGCATATGTATTTAACCAGATGTGTACATTTACCATTCAGTAACCATATTGGACACCGTCGTGAATTTGAAGGTGACCGCAATGATTTTTGTTGAGCACACCAAAAAAATATTGTCTCTCATAAGACATAGAAACAAAATAATATAATGAACATAGTTTGTAGGGTGGGTACAACGTGACCTGAGATCCAGGCAAGCTATGGGAATCAGACCTTCGCTTACCCCTCTAATTCCGTCTGTATGTCGAACAAACTTTGCAAACTGAGTTTACAGAATCAAATTTGCAATGCTTTGAAAATCTAAGTACGGACAGTTTTGGCAATGATCAGAAAAATAATGCCAATACGAATACGGAATACAACATCTATATTCCATTTTAGCAGCTTTATCTCTCATACAGCCCCTTTCTAGTATGTATAGTTCACATTATTTTACAAGGTGCAATTAATTTTCTAGCACTTTCCATTTCTGGTCGTACATTTATTTTATATGTTTCATTTTTAGATTCGGGGCCTGCCAGTTCAAATGTTCAGTCAAAAAAAACTAGTCTATATCACCTCGTTTGGGAAGTGTAATAATGTACGGTAAATTCAATTGATTGTTTTTTTCAAAACGTTTTAATTCAGATTCATGCTTATGTTTGTCCAAGTTTCACATTTTCTCCTATTATACTTTTCTTGATATACATGTTGTTTTTCTATATTACATGTGTTGCTGCATATTTTTCACAATATTTAATGCTTTGATGATAA